TTGCGACCGTCATCATGATCGTCAGCAGTGTCCTCGCCACCGCCGTCGTGGGTATCGTCCCCACTGTCGTCATGAACATGATCATCGCTATCGTCGCTGTTGTCGCCCACTTGAGTGATGCCATTCAGTTGCGGGTGTGTAGGTGGAACTCTTGTGCGAACAAGGAGGTATTCACGCGCGGATGCCAGCAACGTGAATGTGTTCTTCGCTATTGGAATTAGAATATAGCCCCTCCGAGGCCGGGGTGAACGGCCCCCGTCCGTGTATTGGTAGAGGTGCACATGTTATGCACGATCGCTCATCTTATTCATCAGAAAGTATTTCGCGTGGCAGCCAGTCCAGTATCGACACCCCTTGCCATGCCCCGCAAGCAAATGTTATACGGTGCGCATGCGTTGAATTCAGACGTGTTTTTTCTATTGGTCTCTGGCGGTAAATGCGTTACAGGTCACATGCGCGCGCCGACGCCTGCCAACGTCAAACTCGTTAAATTTGTTGTTCCAAAAGAAAACAACCCAAACCAACACACAACACAAAAACCAAAAACATAACAGGTGTTCGCCAGCGTGGACCCTTAACAGCGAGTGGTTGCACGGTGGAGGTGAAAGATATGGTGTGTAAGACACGTGTTGCAAGTTCAGTTGTGCAAGTTTGGGTATGTGAGCAATGTGGTGCAGATTATGCTGTGCAACATATGTGGTGCAAGCTAAGTTGTGTACTCTATGTTGTGAGAGGGATATTTTGTGTTCAATGGTGTGGGAGCAATGTGGCGTGTGTTGTATAGTGTGAGCTGTGCTTTGTAGCTCGTTATGGAGAGTTTCGAGCCGTCAACCACTGCCCGCGCGCACATCCCACCCTCCCACCCGCAACTGGTTCGGCAAAATCCATTCGGCAGCGATTGCCCCCATGGAGTGACACTTGATAGTACGTTTCTACGGCCGGGCTGGCGCGCGCACGCTCACGCGCAGAGCGACCAGCCGGTTTGGTTTGATGCGGCCGCGATGGCGAACGATGTCAATTTCACAGCGCGTCTCGGAGGCCGCGCTGACGCGCGGGCGCTTCAGTGCGGGTCGGTGACCTGGGCGGGCGTGATATCGTGATGACGTCGACAACGGCAGCAACGACGATGCCAATAGCGATGGTGGCGGCGATGGTGACGATGACGACGGGAAAGCCAATGACAGCGCCGATGTTGGTGACGACGATGACGGTGATGATGTCCATGTGCCGGTGATGAAAGTGGTTGTGGTGATGATGATGGCTGCGCTGGCGGCGATGACGATGATGAGAACGGCGGTGATGCGACGGCGCTGATGGGGGTGATGAGGCAGCGTGCGCGCAAATATCGAGAACATTCGCAAACCTGTAATTGAAAAGCATGTGTTGTGACGCATCTGATTGAAAAGCTGCCGCAGGAAAAGGTGTCGTGCACTCATGTTCAACGGGTTTCGACACGCGCGCGGTGAGACGGCTTTCTCCCATGATTTCAGCAATTGCGCGCAGAAAAGGATATTTGAACGTTTTTGGCGACAAAGCTATGGTTTGTTGTTGTGTTGCCGTTGACCTTCTTGCAAAGTTGTTGTGTTTGGTATGATTTCCAAATGTGTGCGTGCTTGCAGGTTTCTCCAAAATAGTGTTTGTCGCTAGGGGATCTAACTTGCGGTCGTGAGAAATTTAGTTCTATACAGTTTGTTTGTGGACCCTCTGGTGGGCAACGCTCGTTACCCCAGCCAAGTCCCCCCCGCACTTTTTGGGTAACGGTAGCGATCGTACGTGGGTGGGGGCATGGACCAGTAAAGGGACCAATCTTGGCGACGTGAGACCAATTCCGGCTCAGTGGGGCCAATCCCAGCGACGTATGGTTGATGTGGGTCCAATCCAGGCCGCTTTTACAAAGAACCTAAACATTGAACAGTTTCCGGAGTCGAATGTCTATTCTTCACGGTGTTCACGTATGCTTTGCAGGTTGGCGCGCCGGGAGTGGTTCCGGCTTGAAACAAATCGGTCTGCATTGTCTCTTGCTTTCAGTAGTCGTAGAAGTAGTAGTAGTAGTAGTAGTAGTAGTACTACTACTTCGAATAATAGTAATAATAGTATTCGTCGTCGTAGTTGCTGTAGTCGTAGTCGAAGTCGTAGTCGTTGTAGTAGTAGCAGTAGTAGTAATAGTAGTAGTACTAGTTGTAGAAGTAATAGTAGTAGCAGCAGCAGTAGTAATAGTAGTAGTCCTCGTCGTCGTCGTCGTCGTACACGTAGTAGTGGTAGTCGTAGTGGTAGAAGAAGTCGTAGTAGTAGTGGTAGTAGTAGTCGTAGGAGTAGTCGTAGTAGTAGTCGTCGTAGTAGTAGTGGTGGTGATATTCGTCGTAGTCGTAATCGTAGTCGTAGTATTTGTAGTAGTATAGTAGAAGTAGTAGCAGTAAAGCTAGTCGTATGGTTAATACTTTAGTAGTAGTACTACTACTACCACTACTACTACTACTAGTCGGAGTAGAAGTTGGACTAGTAGTGGTAGTAGTTGTAGTAGCACATGGAAGTAAACGTAGCCCTAGTAGCTGTAGGAGTATACGTAGTAGCGATAGCGTTAGTGGTACTAGAAGTTGTAGGTTGTAGTCGTAGTAGTGGTACGGGCATGTGTTGTCGTAGTAGTCTCAGTAGTCGTAGAAGGATGCGTACCAGAAGTAGTAGTAGTCGTAGTAGTCGTCATGGTAGCGTTCGTAGTAATAGCAGTACTACAACTAGGCCTAGTGCGACTAGTGGTAGTGGTGGTAGTAGTACCAGTGGTATTAGGAGTCGTAGTAGCCGTAGTAGCCGTAGCGTTACTCGTAGTAGTGGTGTTAGTCGTATTCGTGGTAGTCGTGGTAGTAGTAGGAGTACTAGTGGGTGTAGTTGCAGGCGCAGTAGTACTTGTTTCTGTAGTCGTAGTAGTAGTCGTAGTCGTAGTCGTAGTCGCAAGTGCAGTCGCAGTCGTAGCCGTATGAGTAGTCCCCGTAGTTGTTTGTAGAAGTAGTGCCACATGTAGTCGTAGTCGTTGTCGTAGCGAGCGTTATAGTAGTAGTAGTAGTAGTAGTAGTAGTAGTAGTAGTAGTAGTTGTTGTATTATTCATAGTGCTGGCAGCAGTAGCATGAGTGGTTGCAGTAGGAGGTGTAGTCGTAGTAGCACTACTACTAGGAGCAGGAGCAACAGCAGTTGTAGTAAGCGTAGCCGTGGAAGTGATGAAGTGGGAGTGATGGGAGCCCGAGTAGTCGCAAACGCAGCGTAGTAGTAATAGCAGTCGTTGTAAGAACAGTAGTAGTTGTCGTAGTCGTGGCGGCCAGGGTAATCTTAGGAGCCGGCAGCTGCGCAGTAATAGAAGTAGTAGTAGTAGTAGTAGTCGTAGCAGTAGTAGTAGTAGTAGTAGTAGTAGTAGTAGTAGTAGTACTGGTGATAGTGGTCGTAGTAGTAGTTGTAGTAGTAGATCGTAGTAGTAGAGTCAGTGGTAGTAGTAGTCGTAGTACTATCAGAAGTGGTAGGCGTGGTATGGGAAGTAGCACTAGCATTGGGAGGAGTAAAAGTAGTAGTGGTAGAAGTGGTAGTAGTAGTAGTAGTAGTAGTAGTAGTAGTAGTAGTAGTAGTAGTAGTAGTAGTAGTAGTGATAGTAGTAGTAGTAGTAGTAGTAGTAGTAGCAGTAGTAGTAGTAGTAGTAGCAGTCGTAGTGCCAGGAGAAGAAGAAGTAGTATGAGTTGTAGCCGTAGTCGTAGTTGTAGTAGTCGTGGTAGTCGTCGTAGTAGTAGGAGCAGTCATTGTTTTAGTAGTAGTAGTAGTAGTAGTAGTAGTAGTAGTAGTAGTGGTAGTCGTGGTAGTAATGTTCGTCGTCGTAGTTGTAGTAGTAGGCGTAGTCGTCGTCGTTGTAATAGTAGTACTCGTAGTCGTAGCCGTCACCAGAGTACTAGTGGTAGTCTGCTGCGTCGTTTGAGTACTAGCAGTAGTTATCGTAGTTGTTGTTGATGTTGCAGTTGTAGTAGTAGTCGTAGTTCGGCCCAGTTCAGAAGTCATCTTCGCAATTGCTTTCTGATATTGAAGTTTTCTTCGGTCGAGCACTAGCATCGGCGTTTTGGAGAGTGCCGTGCTGATGCCGCGAGTAATACCAAGAGAGCTCGAAGAGGGCCACCAAGAGGGCCGTACGAGGCAAACATCGTCCCAGCCCCGTGGGTAAGCGCACATGACTAGCATGTTCGCATTATCGGCCCAAAGAGCATCCAAGACCTCCCAAGAGGCCCCCAAGGCGGCCCTAAGATGGCTCAGAAGGGCCCCAATGACGGCCGAACAAGCGCCCGAGAGTACACAACAGAACCCCGTAGATCGCCAGCGAGCTCTGCAGAGGCCCCGGGGAGGCGCCAAGACGGCCCCCCGGAGGCCCAAACGAGCACCCAGTGAGCTTCCCCCCATAAAGGCCCCAGCACGCTTCAAAAGTGCTTCAAAGAGGCTCCACCATGGCCCCCCACGAAATCTCAACAAGCATCCGAGAGGCCTCTGACCCGAACCCTCGGCAGGGAGGCGGGATGGGCCGAAGGCAGTTATATATGAACCTGCACCACCATCAACGTCAAATCCAGCCTGAGCATTACCTGACAATCCTACTTCTTCTCCCCCGCCTGCTCCTCCTCCTCCTTCTCTTCCACATCCCGTCCGTCCCCGCTCCCGCATCAATCCTCCTCCTACTCTCATCACCCTCGTCCTCGTCAAGGTTACTCCTCCTCTTCCCATCATATTCCTCCTCCTCCTCCTCCTCCCGTTCATTTTTTTTTTCCATCATCCTGCTCCTGGTTCTGCTCATCTTTGTCCTTCCCCTCACTGGCTCCATCGGCATGCCCGCCTTCGTACTCGCGTGTGCCAGGGGCGTGACGCTTGTCTTTTTCAATGTTTCCGTTTCACTGCCGCTTGCATGTTTAGGTATAATTGTGATTTTGGTCGAGTTCTGAATTACTTATTTCACGTCCTTGCTTGTCGAAGGGACACTCGGGAGGTGCGTATTTAGCAAGTTCCCCGGCATGCCGGAGGAGGCCAGCTGATGTGACTTTGGAGCGTGGGAAACGTGATGACGATGTCGATGACGATGGCCAAGATGCCGTTGATGACGACGATAAGGGGAGTGGGTGGGGGACAACGATGGGGGACGACAGGGAGGGACAGGCAGAGGGGCAGGCGTCACCGGGAGTCTCGCTGCAGAGGTTGCGCCCGGCTTGGGCTTCATCTCCTGCTCTTTGGGCGTTGCGTAATGGAGGGGTCATAAATGGGGGGGTGTCGCGGGTGGTCCGAAAAGGTACCCAAACGGTACCTAAACGAGCCCCCTGGGGCTCCAGAGGGGCTCGAAAGGGGCACGAAAGGGGACCGTTTCTGACCCCCCCATTTATGACCCCCCCATTAAGCAACGCCCAAGCTCTCCTCGCTCCAGGCATTCCGAGCCTTGGCCCCCCCCCCCCCGAAGCAGGAGGGCCACCGCCCAGCCCTGCGCGCGACCTCTCTGTGCGCGCGGCCTCCGCCGCGAGGCATGTCTCCTCCGGGCCCCCGGACGGTGTCGTGACCACACCGCGTGATGAGTCAGTGCGGATTCGGTCGGTTGGGGCGAGGGCAAGGATAGATCCGTTCCCGAGCGTTCCCGAACGCGCTCAGAGCGTTCTGGAACGCTCTGAGAAGGCCGTGGCGCACGAGACATCCTCCAGAGCCGCCGGATCTCAGAGATTCTCGATTTATCCTTGCCCGAGTTTAGTTATCCTCGTCCTGGATTCGACTTACTCGGGGTCACCGCACGGTTCCCGGATTCGGGCCGCTCTCCTGGGATGTCGCGAGTGGCTGGAGTCTCCAGGGTCTCCAGACTGTGCGGTAACGGGCAGTGCGGTGATGTTCTCCGGGACCTCGAGGTGCCCGCGCGGTCTGTCACACCGCGGTTTTTTGGGATGGGCGCAGGGGGTCGTACGAGGATAGGGGGGTTCTCAGTGAAGGCCAGGGTGGGCTATCTTTGTCCGAACCCAGCCTGCAAGTGGCTTGCACATGCAGGGGTGTTGAACACTCCCTCAAGTGGGCGAAGCCTGCTCAGCTCAGACTGCTACCCCCCCCTGAGCATCGCTCGGACGTGTGCATTTCTCCTTCGGCGAGGACCATCGAGGAGCATCCTTGATCATTTGGTGGAACAACCACGCACGAAACCGAACAAAAACACAGGGAATGGACGTCCGAGCGATGGCCAGGCTAGGTTCGGCCAGAACTATCCGTGGGCGAAAAACATGTCCGTATCTGCGCCCCCGCGGGCCGGGCCCTTTGACCGCGACCCCGCGGCTTCGGGGCGTCTTTCGCGGATGCCCCGCGCGGAATTTCCGCGTACAGTGAAGATGCTGAAACAAGGAACAGTTCGGGTTCGGACGGGGCTCGACGTTCCTTAGGCCCTTCCATGGCTGTTCCTCCAGCCCTCCTCGTGAACGAAGGCGGTTCTGGGGCCTAGAAGGGGCTTCGTTCCTTAGTCAGCGTTCCTTATTTCAGCGGCCCAATTTTACTCGCTGGATCCAGCTTTGGAATCCAGCCCGCGAGGGCGCGGATACGGGCATGTTCGCCGCTGTTTCTCGCCGTCGGCCAGGCCTTTACAGCTTCAGGCAGGGCGATCGGGTCTGCGAGGTTGCGATTCCGCGCGCCATGGCTGTACAGCACTATTTGCCGCGGACCCTGTCCGATTTTCGAGGAACCAAAGACTCAAGCAGTGGCGAAGCGTCCAACCTTTTGTGGCTCCCACGAAGCGTTCTCAGAACATTTCTGGCTGGGACTGTTATCACATCGGGTTTATGTTCTAAGATCATACTTTTTGTTATTAAATCATTTCTGGGTTCTTAGAACATTTCGTGGTAGGGTTATAGGAATGCCGGGACGATCGGTCCCTGCTCAAACAACATGTTCGCCGCTGGTGAACTACGGCCGGCAGACCGAAGACCACAAGTTCGGACCCGCCCATGGGGGTCGGGGGGCACCGCCGAGGCAGGCGCGCGACTTCCGGCCGGCCCCAAAACACGGTGTGGGTTCGGAAAGAGCGACAAATTGCCCGTTGCGATTTCGTTCACGACTTAAGTCGGGCTTGTCCCCTTACAGGGGGATTTTGGGCGAAAAATAAACGGTACCCCAAACATATTACAAAATCGACAGAAATAGTCAAAAATAGTCCCCAGACTATTTTTGTTACCATTTTTGAATATTTTGGGGGTCTTTTTTTGTTTCGTCGAAAATCCCCCTGTAGGGGGACACGCCCGACCTGATTCACGACCCGAGCCTCCAGCGGATCAGTTGGGCCCTCTTGAACCCCTTCGAGATGGTGACCTCCGAGGGCCAGACGATCAAGCTCACGGCTGCCTCCCCCGCGCTGCCGAATTACCCCCTCGAGGAGGCCTGGATGGCTGACCCCGAGAAGAGAGTCGCGGCCAAGATAGGACCGGATAGCAATAGGTTAGACGTCACAGCTGTTAAACATATGATTTCGGCGCCCAGCCCGACCCAGCGTGAGAAAAGCAGCTCGATGCCCTGCCAAACCCAGCGCTTGTGGACCACAGCCAGACTGGCAGCAGCAGGATGCGAAACCGACACGCATTGCGCCTGCGAGTACGAGAGAGAAGACATGAGCCACAGTTTCGAGTGACCCCTGATCCCCAACCTCAAAAGTGAGCTTCTGACGCCCCATGACGCAGCTTACTTGGAAGGGTATCCACTAGCAGCCCCCCTGACCCACGGTTTTCAGTTTTACACCCCCCCCCCTTGCATGGTCCACAGGCCCGTCGATTCTGGTTATGCTTGGGAGCTTCGGTCCCGAAACGGAGACCTCATGGCTGCGGCCGCGACGGGGGGGGGGGTGAATTTGCGGACGGGTCCCGCTTTAAACAAGGCCCCAAGCATTGGTACCAGACAGGCCGGGCCGCTGCTATGCTAGACGAGAATGGAGACTGCAAGGCACACCTCTCGGGACAGACGGGAGAGTTGCTCCCTCCGGCCTCGTCTGCTGCCGAGCATGTTGCCACGGCCGCAGCCCATGTGCGCCCAGGCCTCATTGCCACACACTCTGACCTCTTAGGCGCCATACGAGAGCATGGCAGACAGCGCTCGGGTAGGAAGAATATGCATGCTAGGCTGGAGCTGCTAGCAAAGATCAGACATAGCAAAGGAACCCTTCCAAGAGTTTGTAAAGAAAAGTCATAATCTGGGGGCCTGGCTTACACTCAGAGCCCAGGTTTCCCTTTGGTTTTTCTTTGCAGCTTTCAGCGAAGGGCCTCCAGACATGGCCTGCCACCGCACCCCAAGCCTGGCAGCCGAGCTGAGGAAAGACCCAGTTTTAAGCCCGCGCGTCGGCCACTGGTGGGTGCCGCCAACACCGCCCCTCTCCTGCCTCCGTCCTCCGACCCTACTGCGGGCCCTCGGGCCGTGGATGGCGACCCCCCTCGGGGCGACCCGCAACAGCTAGGCGGCCACCAGTGGACCCAGACGAATGAGAGCCTCTGGATGAGCGAGATCTGCAGAGCCAGAGCCCGCTCTGAGGCAGCCCGTCTTTGTACAAACTCCCAGAGTTGCGAGGGCCACTGCAAGGCCCTGTCGAACCTTGCAGCGAGCCGCAATGGTCACGATATCTATGTTCCCAACCGCCTCGACAACGAGAGCTGCCTCTTGATGTGCTGGGCCTGCGGCACTTACAGCGAATACTTCCCCAAGGCTTTCAAGAGCGAATGCCTTGGAGGCCCCCCGAGCAACAACACGATTGCGGCCCTCAATAGCCTCAAGCCCTGCAGCCAGTCCAAGGGAGGTATAAAGAGCAGACCATGATTTGAACCCCCATTCAACCCTGTACAGTCTCATCAGGGAAGCGCAGCTTGCGCAGCAGGGGTTACAGCAATAGACAGACGAGCGCTCCTCAATCAGATGCGCTGGTCCCCTTCCTCCTCCTGCTGCTCCTCCTCATCCTGCTCCTCCTCCTCCTCCTCCTCCTCCTCCTCCCCCTCCTCCTCATCCTCTTCCTCCTCCTCCTCCTCCTCCTCCTCGTCCTCCTCCTCGTCCTTCTCCTCCTCCTCTTCCTCCTCCTCCTCCCCCTCCCCTGTTCTGGCGCTGGCGCCATGGGGGTTCGCACCGTGTGAGCAAGTTTTTGACGCAGTTCGTCGTGAGAGAGAAGGACCTCCCCTGGGTGAGCTCGGCGGGAAGCCTCGGCGCGCGCCTCGAGAGCGAGAGGACTCGGGCTCTGCGGCGCCCGATGTTGTTTGATCTTGGACCGCCTGCCTCCAGGCCCGTATGCCGACGAACCCCTCCCTCTGGTCCTCCTTCACCCCGGATCTCTTCCTCCTCCTCCTCCTCCTGTTCCCCCTCCTTTTCCTCCTTCTCCTCTTCGTTCCCTTCCCCAGAAGGAGGCGGGAGGGAGGGTAATGACTCGCCCTCCTCCGTGCCCCAGCTCCTCCGTGCCCCTGATCCCCGCTCTTTGGCGCTAGGCCAACTTCAGCCACTGAGCTGGAGGGTACCACGGATGAAGCAAGAATGCGTGAAGCCAGCCTGGGCAAAGCGCGAACAAATGTGGCCAGGCCAGCATAGAAGGTTGAACCCTACACGCTCCTCTTCCTCCTCCTCCTTCTCCTCCTCATCCTCCTCCTGCAGATGGCCGCGACCGCCAGGCCTGGCCCAATTGCGCCAACGTGAACTATTATAGCGACGGTGACCAGGCCCCCCCCCCGCCGCTGCATGCGGGCAGGGAGGAGGCAGGAGAACGGGGGGAGCAGGGAGGGAGCAGGGAGGGAGGAGGAGGGACGCTGGAATGATGCTGAACGAGGGGGCGGGGAACGACTGCAGGAAGCAGGCAGCAAGGGGGGAGGAAGGAGGGAGGAGCGAGGTTGCACACTTGGACGGGTCCTACGTGAGGTTTCCAGGGCTGCTCGGGGATCCCCACGACCCAATATCGGTGTTCGGTGGTCCATGGTCGTCAAACGTGGTCGTGACCAATTGTGTCTGGTCTTCTGTACGGTCCTACCCGCCCGCGCACCAGATCATTGAGCTATATGCCTTCATAGCACAGCGGGATGATCATAAGCCCCCCAGCCGCAGCCCGGCGTGAACAGTCGCATCCTAAAGTTGATCGTCCCCCATGCCAGGGTCAGTGAAAGAAATGAACGACGTGGTGAGGGTCTAACTTTTTTCGCCGAATGCATTCGGAAGGCAGCACAACATGATAAAGTCCTGGACGCGTATCGAACACATGGATTAACTCATGCGCGCATTTCGACGAAGGCATTGAACAAATAGACAATCCATGAATAACGTTTTTTACAGAATCATCGTTGCCATATGTCTTCGTACAGCTCGGTCTTGAATTGCTTCTCATAACATTCGCGTGTGTTTGTTCTCTTGGTCGCGCGCGAGCGCCCGCATGTGGCCTGCAGTGCGTTTTCCTGTCATCAGGAGCTCGCGAATTAGATAGATAACCATGTCCACCGTGCCGTGTCTGTTATACAGGATCGCGCTAAGGCCGGGTGCGGCGTTGCATCGAGTGGTTGATTCCATAGGTAGGATGGGCGCCGTTTGCGTCAATTGCGTTTCTGCCAACACACAACAGAGTGCCCGGGGCGGCGCAGGCCAGAATAGTCAATGTGAGGCAGTAGTGTTCATGTGCGCGATTAGACTTATGGAGAAGCCTGTGGCGGAAGGCGATCGTACCCACCCACCCACCCTATGACAAAGTTGAGGCATTCTCTCCTAGTCCCATCGCGCCCGAGCAGTCCAATAGTGCGGACAAAAGCCGTGGAGTGCACCGTTTATCCGCCAGATCCATTTGGAAGGCCGCGACAGCTCATGAACTCATGCGCTCATCACGATGATGGCGTCGATCATCGGCGCGCACGGAAAATGTGGCAATCGAGAACACAGTGGTTACCAGCGGGGGGGCAGCAACACCTTCTCGTCTGAAGTAAGCTCAACCACAAAACAGTAAAACGACAGGGGAGGATAACTTGGCTAGCTGTTCAAACGCCTTGGTTGGACGGGGGGGGCGCGGGGCGCCTCCGGTAGACCGAAGTCTGGACCAGGCTGAACTTTTGATTCGTGAGCCTGTCCCCATCGACTCCTCCGCCCTCGCCCTGCCCTCCCACCTCCCCCTGCCCCGCCCACCCCTAGCTGCCCTGCACCGTGTCCCCCTCCACCCACTGACCCCCCCCCCCCCCGGCCACCCCCCCTCCTTATCCTCTGCCCGCTCCTTCTTTCTCTCCCTCTCCCCTTCCCCTCCCCCATCCCGCTGTGCCCCTTCCACCCTAGCTCCTCTGCCCCTGGTCCCCCTCCCCGCAGTCGCCCCTCCAATGCCCCACTTTTGTCCCCTGCCCGCTCCTTCTTTCTCTTCCTCCCCCCTTCCCCTGCCTCAGTTCGCTTCGCCCCTCCGCCTCTCCCCCCCCACACACACAAACACACACACACACGCACACACACGTGCACACGTGCACACACACACACACACGTTCACACACACACACACACACACACACACACACACACACACACACGCACACACGCACACAAATGCACACATACACACATACACACATACACACATACACACACACGCACACACACACAACACACACACGCACACACATGCCCGCACACACATACAAACATACACGCACACACATACAAACATGCACGCACGCACGCACGCACGCACGCAGGCACGCACGCACACACACAAACACACACACACACACACACGCACGCACGCACGCACGCACGCACGCACGCGCCCACACACATACATACATACATACACGCACGCGCGCACACACGCACGCACGCACACAGACACACACACACACACACGCGCGCACGCACGCACGCACGCACGCACGCACGCACGCACGCACGCACACACACACACACACACTAACACACACACACACACACACACTAACACATACACACTTTTACTTCGGCGGCTAGGCAGAGTGACTGCGCTGGCGGAAGAGCACGGGTAGGGCATACGAATGCGAATTAACCCGCAATGCACGGGGGAGAAAAGGAACGCCCGGCGAAGGCAGGAGGGAGACAGAAGCCGGGCCCGCTCGGAGCGAAGCCTGGCGGCGGCTGGGGGGGGGGCGGGGGCCAGCAGCAGCGGGGCGGCGGCTTGGGGGGGGACGCCGGCACGGCAGGCTGCCAGGCAGCAAGCCGTGCTTGGGGATCACACACACAAGCTTTTTGCGTCGGCGGCTAGGCAGAGTGACTGCGCTGCCAGAAGAGCACAAGTTGGACGAACAAATGCGAATTAAGCCGCAGTGCACGGAGGAAAGAGGAGGAACGCCCGGCGACGGCGGGAGGGAGGAGGAAGCCGGGCCCGTTCACAGCGGGGCCAGGCGGCGGCGGGGGGCGGCGGTTGGGGGGGGCTCAGCGGCGGCGAGGCGGCAGCTGGGGGGGTAGGCCAGCCAGGCGGCAACCGGAGATAGGCGCCCAGAGGGGGGCAGTGCCCAGCGCAGGCTGGAGACTAATGTGGACACAAGAAAGCAGAGGAGCTGAGGGTGCCGAGGTCACAAGTGACCACACAGAACACGCACGCACACACATGCACACACACATGCACACACGCACACACGCACACACACACATGCACACACACACACACACATGCACACACGCACACACACACACACGCATTCGCACACGCACACACACACACACACGCACAGAGTGCGCACTCGCACTTTTCCTGCTCCGCGACGACGAAGCTTCGGCTGGCCATCAGCTCACGGGGCACGTCGGCTCAAGCCGCAGTCCAGCTTACGCCAGGCGCCGTCAGACCCGGGCCGTGTGGACCCTGGGCGGGGCGCAGGCCACCGCGAGCGCGCAGGAAACGCCGCGCGCACACGCGCACACGGGGCTTGGCTCACCTGGCGCCGCCCCCCCCGCCTGCACCCTGGCACCCGCAAGGGCGAAGGGCGAGGGGTTCGGCCGTGCGGCCGCAGTCCAGGCCTGGCGTGCGGCCGTGGAGAGGAAGCTGGCCTGCCCTGGCCTCTCGCCTGCCGGCATCTTGTTTTTCAGAGCCCGAAGTTGCCCTCGGGGAGCTATCCCGGAAGCAAAGCACGCAGAGCTTGTAGGAATGCTTGGGGAGCTTGCCAAGAACGCTTGCCAGGCTCCGCGCTCGTCTGAATCCTTCGCCTCCTCCTTTTCGCACTCCGCCTCCTGCCTCCAAGTGACGGGTGGAACCCAAGGGTGGAGAAGGTGAGGCACCGAAACCACCCCCTCATGCCCTCCTTTCGAGCTCCTCCTCCTCCTCCTCCTCCTCCTCGTCCTCCTCCTCCTCTTGGTCCTCCCCTGTGTTGTATGTTCGATTCTTCTTCTGGCGCCCCACGTTGCCTCCCCCCCTCCAAAATGCCATCGTCGTTGCTCTCACCTTCTCGCAGTTCATCCTCATCCCTCGCTTCTCCCTTCCCCCCCCCCGTGGAGGGCGTGGGCTGGCACGCGGATGACGAGCTCATCTTCATGGGTACGGCTAGGGATTGCCCGATCCTGTCGCTCAGCCTTGGAGGACGCCTGGGGGAAGCGCACACTGCACCAAGGTTCCAGGGTTGCCCTCCTCCTCTTCCTCATCCTTCGATTTCTCCTCCTTCTCCTTCTCCTCCTCCTCCTCCTCCTCCCACACCTCCAACTCTTCCCCTCCTCCCCCGTCGACCGCAGGAGGCGCTGGAACAGGTAGGTCACAGATGGGGCTCTCGCAACCCTTCCAGTGTGACCTTCACAACCCAGGTTGGAGTACGAAGGGGGGGGGATAGCAAACGGGGCGCGCTCGGCGGGTCTCCGCCGTCCTCTCGGCGTCCTCCCTGCGGAGGCGGGCGGCTTCGTCGGCCAAATGCTGGACAGTTCGGCCGAATCTGGTCGCGCACTCCGCCTCGCTCCGACCCTCTCCCCCTGCCATCGACGACCAGTCGCCCTCCGTCCTCTGTGCTCCCCTCCCCCCTCTCCCCTCCCTGTTCTCTCTCCCCCCTTCTGGGTCCCCGGTGCGTTCGGCGGCCGGGCTGGGCCCGAGGCGTCGCCGTGGGCGAACGGCGGTCCGCGCCGGGCGCTTTGAGCGGGGAGACCAGCTTTGGAGGCCTTTCGGCCGCCCTGGAGCTCTCGACCCCGTGCGGTTGCGGTCGGCCGACTGATAGTTGTGAGGCCTCGCCCGGCCTTTCGGGAGATTTTTGCCCCTTCTCCTCCTCCGCCTCCTCGTCCTCCTCTTCCTCCCTCCCTCCCTCCCTGCCCGCTCCCCCTGGGCGGTAGCAGCCCGTCTTTCTCTCTTTCTCTCTCTCTCTCTCTCTATTTCTCTCTTTCTCCCTCTCTCTCTCTCGTGCTCTCTCTCTCTCTCTCTCTCTCTTCCTCACTCCCTCTCGGCTGCGCCTCTTTCGCGGCAGGGCCCTACTCGAGCAGGACATGCTTTTGCTGGGGGTTGCGGGCGTGGGGCCGGGGTGGGTTGGACGGGGGGGGATCTGCTAATCCTCCCCCCTCCGCTCGTCCGTGTTTCCCTCCCTCCCTCCAGGATGCGCGCTCCCTCCGCAAGGCCATCGAGGAGGAGGAGGGGGAGGAGGAGGAGGAGGAGGAGGAGGAGGAGGAGGAGGAGGGAGGAGGAGGAGGAGAGGAGGAGGAGGGAGGTAGGAGGAGGAGGAGGAGGAGGAGGAGGAGGAGGAGGAGGAGGAGGAGGAGGATGAGGAGGAGGAGGAGGAGGAGAGGAGGAGGAGGAGGGAGGAGGAGGAGAGGAAGAGGAGGAGGGAGGAGGAGGAGGAGGAGGACGAGGAGGAGGAGGAGGAGGAGGAGGAGGAGGAGGAGGAGGAGAAGGAGGAGGAGGAGGAGGAGGAGGAGAAGTTGGAGGAGGAGTTGGAGGAGGAGGCGGAGGAGGAGCAGGAGGACCCTCCAGACTGCGCGCTCCCTCCGCAGGGCCTTGCAGTCGACAGGGGCGCTGCGGCGACGGGGTGCGACGTCGGTCAGGCCGAACTGGGCAGGGGCCCCCCTCTGTTCCCCAGGGGATTGCCTTCGCCCCCCCTCGCCGACTGCTGGTCCGCAGTGGTGCTACGCGCACGCGGTTCGGACCGCGAGGGCGGGGGGACGGGGCGAAGCCCCCGGCGGTTGAGATGCGGCCTCCGTGCCGGCCCAGCCCAGTCCTGGCGGCCGCTGCCCCCTCCGTCGCGGGCTCTCCTGGCACGGAAGGTGGCCGTGGACCTACCCGCCGGGAGGCGCAGTGCTTGGCGTGGGGAGGATGTTCCGTCGAGGGGGTCTCCTCCTGCCACGTCTGCCTCACGAAAATCACCCGTGCTTGAGGATGCGAGCGCCGCCGTGTGGGCCACCCTGGTCAGCCAACCCTTCCTCCTCCTCCTCCTCCGCCCCCTCCTCCACTCCTCTTCCCCATGTATCATTCCTCCCTGTCGCACCCCGAGGCCATGCGGAAGGGCGGGGCGGGCGTTTCGCTCGAGATTTCTTTGCCACTTATGATCCTGAAGCTGAGAAGCTGTCAGCAGTTTCACAGGGACCGCTTCCAACATGAATGTGGCTCTCGCCGTAGCGCCGCGCACATATCTATGTTCAAACAAATTTCAAGAACTTGACGGATTGAGGGCGGGCCGTTGTCAAAAGTATGTTCTCGCCTTAGCGCCGCGCGCATTTATTGTAAGGATGTGTAAAGCTAAATTGATTGAGGGCGGGCGGTTTTCAACATGTGGTTCTCACCTTGGCGCCGCGCACATTCGAATTAAAGATTAGCGAGAGCCTCCTGGATGAAGTTCCAGGAAGGTGCTTTGGCACGCTGGTGAAGAGGAAGCTCGGAGGGAGGGTCTGTTCCAACATCGTTGATGAGTCTTGGGTTTGCACGGATCCTCCTCCTCCTCCTCCCCCTCCTCCTCTTCTTCCTCATCCCCCCCCGATTGACTGCAGGCGCGCCTGCACAGGACCGCGTGGCCCAGCTGTGGGTCCGCGCGCCTTTGGCCCTGTCTCCCAACCTTTGCATGCGCACCACCCGCCAGGACGTGGCCGCCCTAGTCTCGCGCCTGTGGTCACGTGCCCTCGTTGCGCCCCGCCCCCCCGTCCGGCACCCGAGCCAGCCGGTCCGCCGCTCGCTCGGCAGGAATGCGCGAGTTTTGGATCGCGCTCAAGTCGGACTGCGGCGTTGACGTGGAGAGGAGTCCGTGTTTTTCACCACCCACCAAACCACCCCAACCCAACCCGAAGGCCTCAATTTGCCCTCCATTTCCAGTTGGGGGGGGGTCGGGGAACATCGAAAAAACACGTATGGAACCCTTACCCCCCCCAACCCGAAATTCGGGTCTTCGGGTTGGGTTGGGGTGGTTTGGTAGGTAGTCCGTGTCTTGTTTGCGAGCGCTCTGGGGGGAGGGCTCCCCCTTTCGGAGGAGGGAGAAGGTACCCAGACTTCCTTCATTCTCCCCCTGTTTCGGCCTCCTTGGGGGCCCCCGTCCCCACCGCTGGATTCGCTTCGAAATCCTGCTCAGAACGCACCCAGGATTGCAAGAAAACCCAGGATTGCAACAAAAACGAAGGATTGCAAAAAAGGATTGCAAAAAAACCCAGGATTGCAAAAAACGAATGTTTTTTTTTGCAATCCAGGGTTTTTTTTCTGCAATCCTTCGTTCAAGGGAGAGCACCCGCGGGAGAGGTCCCGGGAGTCGCGGTACCGGTAACTGCTGGATTCCCCAGTTTCTCATTGCGAGCGTTCTGGTTTTCTCGCCTGCTCCTCTTGGTCCTCTCCCTGTACCGCCATTGCCTCCGCTGCTCGTTCCCCGTCTGCCTTCTTCGCCACACGCTGCACATGCGCGTTGAGTGGTATACATATGTGGAGACACGGGGAGACGACGGAGAAGGCAGGATGAAGGAAGAACGAGAAGGGAGAAAACAGGGCAGGGAGGAGGCATGAAGAGAGGGTTGACGAGGACAGTGGCAGGGGAAGAGAAGGAGGAGAAGGAGGAGAAGCATTCGAAGGAGGAGGGAGATGGATAATAATAATAAGAAGAAGAAGAAGACGAAGAAGAAGAAGGAGGAGGAGGAGGAGGAGGAGGAGGAGGAGAGAGGAGGGAGGAGCGAGGAGCGAGGAGCGAGGAGCGAGGAGCGAGGAGCGAG